TAGCAATGGCCCTCACTCGAACTCTCACATACCAGAATCACATACCACTTGCAGGATTATTTATTTAACATTTTTCTTTAAACCAACTCTTTTTCTTTTTACGTAAGTGCTTATCTTGTTTTCATCCTAAGTAATAATGTCTCTGAAACCACAGGACCAATGTGCCCGTTATACATTTTTCTAATATACATTTACATAAACACGACTATTAAAATAGATTAAAATTTTGCCCATGTGTTGACTAAAATCATCTCCTGTGCCTCCTGTGTCCACTCGCTGACTTCAGGAGGGCCCCAGGTGAGAATCAAAGAGCTTCAAGGTGTCTGGTGGCCCAGGCCAGATTCCTGCCCAGCACATCCCAGCCCGGCCCCTCCTGCAGGAGTCCAAAGCCCAAATGCCCATCCTGACATTCGAGGCCTTCGCAACTGGGCCTCAGTCTCTCCCAGGCCCATCTCCAGTCCCACACAGGAGATCCTCAGTCTTTACTGAACGAATGAAAAGTGAATTCACAAATCACTCACTTGATGAATCCTGAAGGGATAAATGAGTGAGCACACACCTGGGTGTTCCCTGGACACTTAAAAGACATCCACACCTGAAGCCTCCATCTTCCCCACCCCCCACACCCAACCCCACACCATCTCTCCTCTCTCATTGGTCCTTCCCAACCAGCTCTTGGATCTGCCAAGCTGGTCCCAACCCAGGGACCTTTCCTTCAGTGTCGCAGGGACGAGAAGGGGAGCTGGGCCTCCCACGTCTAGTCTCTACCCTGAGCCTTGGGGACCTGCCCAGAGTTCCTTTGTTCAAAGCTTCTTCGCTGCCCACTGAAGTGTCCAAGGAGCCTCAGGTCCCTGCTAGCCTGGCTCCATGCACCTCTGCGGCTGGGGTCCCACTAGCCTTTCCACCTCCCTCCTCCCCACACCTGCCACTGAAGAGCTGAAAGTCCTATGACCTACTTCCTACCCCCTCACTCTTGCCTGCCCGATACCTAGATACCCAGTCAGTCCGCAGGCCTTGGATGAAATGTCCTTTCCCCACCGGAGCCTCCCCGAGCACATTGCCTCCTGCCCCAACCCAGAGTAGGTGCTGCCTTTGGGCTACCCCCACCCGTGTCTATCCTTGTCATGGTAATAAACCCCAGTACAGCATTTACAGCTTTCTAACTGCTTCGCGTAATTAGCTCATTGAATCCTCATCACAGTCTTAAGAAGCAGGTATAAAGATTATTCCCCTTTAACAGGTGAGGAAACCCAGGTACAGAGAGGTCTAGTTATCTCCCAAGGTGGACTCTGAGCCCAGGCAGTCTGGCCTCAGAGCTGGGAACTCCTACACTTCATATACTGAACTACAGGAGTCTGCCTCATCTGTCCTGCCCATCTGTGAGTCCTGGACACCAGTCTCCCATATCAAGTGCCTGCCACTGGGTGTGGCGCATTGTAGGGGCACAATGAATTGCACTGGTGGGTAGACAGATGCACAGGTGGATGGTTGAACAATGAGGATGGGCAATGCAGGGATGATGGATGGATGTCTAATACAGGGAAGGAGATAGTGATGAACAGATGATGGAATGATAGAGGGACGGGTGCTTGTGATGCCTGATGGATAGATGGGTGGGTGAGTGGATGGGTGGAAGGATGGATGGACGGACAGATGAGTGGATGGGTGGAAGAATGGATGGACGGACAGATGAGTGGATGGTGGAAGAATGGATGGATGAGTGGATGGGTGGAAGGATGGATGGATGGATAGACAGATGAGTGGATGGGCGGAAGAATGGATGGGTGGATGGACAGATGAGTGGATGAGCGGAAGAATGGATGGATGGATGGATGAGTGGATGGTGGAAGGATGGATGGATGATGAATAGATGAGTGACAAAGGAGCAAAGAAGGATGTGTTCTAATTTGGGGGGAAGCTCTAGAAATCCTGGGAAGAACCGAGGCCTTGGGAGATGCCTGAACTTGGAGTTGGAAGCGCTGGTTCAGACCCCCACTCTGCCGTTGGCTAGCTCTGTAATCTAAGGCAAGTTCATCCAGCCTCTGTGACTCTGGGTAATAGGAATCTGACCCCCAGGCACCCTGACCCCCAGGATTTTCTGTAACTGAGGCCCTTAGATACAGGTAAAGGGTCCCCGTGGAGGCTGCAGGGAGCAACATCACTAAGCCATCAGGAGAAGAAACGTGGCTTGTTCACCCTGTGGTGGGCCTGGGCTTGAGGGCCCATATCCTGCCCCTTACATTGCCTGCCTGGCCCCCAAGTTGCCACCTTCCTACCCAAGGGAGCCCTGCCAGCCCAGTCCAGCCTGCCTCGCTCCCAGGCCCAGCCTGGCTCCGGCTCACTCCATCCTGCAGGGTCTGGCCTCCACATACTCAGGCTCTCGCCCTGGAGCACTAGGAGGGGACAGGAGTGATCGGCCACAACCCAGAGTGCAGCCGGCCTGCAGACACTGCAAGACGACAGGTTCAACAAGCATTTATTGAGCCCCTGCTGTGTGCCTGCTGCGTGCCCCTCCCCTCAGGAAGCCCCGCTCCCTGCCCTTGTAGGGTGCTGCTCCTGGGCTCCCCCTTAGTTTCCTGGTTGGCTCCTGGGTGCCCTGGCATTCGGTGGCCAGCGTCCATGTTTCTGCAGCTCTGCATATGATGGTGGCAAGAGTTAGGAGCTGATGCCCCAAAGTCACTCTGTGCAGTCCCGTCCATTCCCTCGGGATGCCCCGGCCCATCTCTGGGGCCCTGAGACCCAGGCAGTGGTGGACAGAACAGGCCCGGTGTCTCCCACACAGGCTGGGTGAATTCACAGCACACGGGCCAGGTTTCCGGTGGCACCAAATGAGTGTCTTGTGGCAGGGGGTGATGCCAGTGATGGCCTGAGGTACAGGGCCAGGTTGGGGTGTCGGTCACACCCAGTGCCCCAGGACCCAGCACTGGCGGGGGTTCTTGCGCGGAGCTCCGGGGCCAGGAATCCGCCATGTGTGGCTGGTGTCCTGCCAAAAGATGAAGTGGTCAGTGCTGACAGCCATCTTCTGTCCCCAGTCTCCTGCCAGGCCTTCCACTGTGCCCCACCTATCAACCCACCCACTCTCGGGTCACTTCCAGCACTCCACCCCTTCCTGCCCTATCAGCTGCCCGCCCACCCCCTCTCCAACTCATCTGTAACCTGGCCGCACACCTGCCATCGCTACTGACCCATCAAGGCATCTATGACTCTCCCCACCCCAACCCTCCCTCCACGCCCATTGCACCCACCTATCCTGCTACCCAACCACGCACCCACCAGCCCACCTTCCCACAGGCACATCTGCCTATAGCCCACATATCCCAGATTCCCCAGCCCACCCCGAGGTGCACACTGCCAGCCCCACCCCACTAGAGCATGAGCCCAGGAGAGCCAGCCATGACCACCCCCGGGGTGGGTGCTCCCTGGTGGGTCAACAGAGGTGAGGATGGAAGGACACCTAAGAGTAGAGAAGTCTGGCGTGGTGGGGCGGGAAGGGAATGAGGGGAGCCTTCTCCACGCACCCTCCAGGAGTCCATCTCCACTGCACAGCGAGCCGTGGGGGAGCTCCCACCCATTTCACAGATGAGGGAGCTGAGTCAGAATAAAGCAGCTGTTTTAGGATTCCAGCTACCACAGGGCTGGACTGCATTATTTTCTTCCCAGTTCCCACTCTGGCACTAAAAGAAATTTGTTCCATGTCATTCTGTTTTCATGTCGGTCATACTGCAGTCAGACGGGCTCTTTGTAGAGACCCAGGGAGGTGGGAATTCCTCTCCTGCTTGCACGCCTCTAAGGATGGAGAGCTCATTGCTCCTCGTCCATGCCAAAGCAGCTCTGACTGCTGGGAGACTCTTCCTAATAACAAAGGCTGGAAGGGACGAGGCCCAGAGGAAGATGGTTGTGACGACTGTGACGACTGTGGGGAGAGTGTGTGGCTGTGATTTTTTTTTTTTTTTTTTTGGCCTGGGCTTTTTTTGACTTTCTGTTTTTAACATTCTTTAATTGTTCATGTTTTTTGAATTTCACTATTTTTTTTTAAGAGGTGGGAAACAATTTGCAAACATTCTGGAATCATTTAGCCTCAGAAAAAAAATATTTGTTTTGGCCCCAGTCACGGAAACAGTGGCATTCTCTGGGCGCGTGCTGCCAAGATAAAGGTGTTTGGGATTTTTTTTTTTTTTTAATTCTAGAGGCAAATATTTGGTGCACAGAAAGGTTTGATTGTTTTTCCAAATGAGTATTTAGAAGTGATAGTAGCTGCTCTTACGGCCGCCAACAGGTAGGATTGTGGAGATTATTGGAACAGAGAGAAAGCGATCCCGGGTGTGTGTGTGTGTGTGTGTGCGTGTGTGTGTGTGTGCGTGTGTGTGTGTGTGTTAAGGAACAGGAAAGGGAACCAGCAGTTAGCATAATGGCTATGTCGCTGGACTCCCACGTAGTCGACTGCGGTTCATGTCCCGGACCCGGTGGCTTAAACTCATGCCAGGCGCGTGTGTGTGCGTGCCCAAGATCCCGAGAGGAGAATGGAGGAGAAGGGATTGTGGCGTGACCATCCCCCCTGGGGGGTGATTTCTCGCTTTCTGTCTCTCTCTGTCTGGCGAGCGCACGCGCCCTATAGCAAAAACCTCTTAAAAAAAAAAAAGAAACGAGAAAGACCAGGGTCGCTCTGCTTCCTTGAGTTAAAATCAAGTTCTCTGGGCCCAGCCGTGGTGGTACAGTGGGAGGAGCTGCTGTGAAGTGGCTGGGAGATCAGGGCTCAGTTCCCAGTTCCACCTAACAGAGCCACATATGGTGGCCCGTGCCTGTCGGTGGTCCCAGCTGACTGGGATACTGGGCAGGAGGTGTGTGATGTGGTGAGACCCTGTCACATCTCAAGCTGGCCCTATGACAAAGAGCTTTAGCACTGTCCATAGGGAGTCGCTTCTCACGTGGCTGACCAGGGTTCAAGTCTGGCCCCTGTGGGCACATGTGTGCTTGCCCTAGACCTTGACGGGATAGAGAATTGGAGGGAAGGGGACTGTGGCATAACCAGGCCCTGTTGGGGGTTCTCTGTCTCTCTTGCTCTGTCTCTCTTATGCACCCACACCCTCTGTCCTGAAATAATAATAATCAAGTCATAATAACGTCTCTCTCTCTCCCTCCTGCGCTTACTCACACATAGTCTCTTTCTCATCTGAAAACAAAACAAAAAAATCAGGCTCTCTGTCCCTTCCACCTGGAGGCAAAGGCATCGAGGACTTGAGGGGGGCTCCTCCACTTCTCTGGTCTCCAGAAGGGGCTCGAGGCCCAGAGCCACTTACAATGTGAGCATAGAGAGGGCGTGTCACCAGAGCCGCCCCGCCACCTCCCTCTGTCCCATCCCTCCACTTCTGGGCCAGGCATAGTCAGAATGAAGGCCTGAACTGTAAGCTGGGCAGGGCCAAGTCCAAGTGCCTCTGGGCCAAGCAAACCAGGGACATGGGCAGGCGAGCCGCAGGGGGCAGTTCCTCGGCCCCCACCAACTGTTTCCGTGGGGCGTGGGTGCTCAGACTCCCGGTAAGTTCAGAGCAACTGGGAATCTGGATTCCAAGATAGACTCTCCTGGCTTTTAAATGATGACCATTCAAGTGTCTAAGCAATTTTAAACCGTCTGTGGGCCAAGCAGTGTCTCTCCGGCTGGACTCGGCCCACGGGAGGCTGCTTCGTGACCTTCGTTTTCACCCCGAGTCTTTGTTCTGTGACTATTCCATGGCTTGGCACGGACTAGTCCCTCAGCTGGAAATGCCCTTCCCTGCTCTTTCTTCTCTGTCTGTTGAAACAAGCCCTTCCTTCTTTTAAGGTTCCCTCCTGGAGGCGTTGCATGGCCCACAGAGGCCTTAGCCCTCCCCTGTGCCCTCCACTCTCTCCCTATGCTTGTCTCTTGCTGCAGTGTGGTCTCCTCAGTCAGCTGGGGACAGGGCAGGGACTGGGTCAGCCTCATTCTGGAGCCTCAGTCCTTAGCACCCGGCCTGGCCAGAAGCAAGTCCTGAGCTGGCTTTTTTTCCCCCTTTAATAAATAAGGAAACTATGGAAGGAGAGGATGGGTTGATTCCTGACATGGGGAGATGAACTCTGTCCACCCTTCCTGCTCCGATAATCTGAGTATTATAAAGAGGCTCTTTGCTCAGCCTCTTCTCCTTTGGGTACAAGTTCAGGGGAAAATATTATGGGTCCCATAGTCAAAGGTTCAAAGCCAGGCTCTACCACTTAGGGGCTATGCGAATGCTTTTCTAAGCTGTGTGACGGTTTACAAGCAACTTCACCTCTCTGAGCCTACAAGTGGATGTGAGATATAAAGGAGACAGCAAGCCTAGCAGGACCCTGTGTGGGAGCCCTTCCTCACGGACTTCAGATACCAGATGGATGTGAAAGTAACGAGATGCCAGCTCTAGAAGGGGGTTGGAGAAATGAGTCAAGGCTGACACCGAGGTGTTAGCTAGTGACACTATCATCTCATCCATGGCCCACAGTGTCACCACCTCAGCAAGGGCACCCTGACTGCTTTCCTGAGTTGACCCTGCTCTGTAAGTGTCTGCTGTGATGGGGCTTCACAGGCACCATCGTACTGAGAGTATCTGTTCACTCATCTCCTCCTGGTCTCCCCTACCAAGCTGGATGTCACAGGAGGATAAAGGCAACTCTGCTCTTACTGAAGACTGTGTCCCAGGTCGGGCACAATTTCTGGCACAGCATGGATATTGAATGAATAAACAACAGGGCATCTGGGAGACAGGGCAGGTTGGGCCGTCTGGTCTACCTTGAAGCAGTTATCTTAGGAGGCATAGGGGGTCCATCTTCTGGAGACCCCGTTTCTGAGCTGTAACATTCTCTGTCTTTCTCTCACACCTGGTATAGGCTAAGCCCACCTAACCTGCCACTCCTCCCAGAGCCGCTGGTTCCTTGGTTCCTCTATTAAGCATGCGTTGGGAATGTGCCGTGTCAGTCCCCAGTGGGTGCTGAGTCCACAACGTGAGTGAGTCGCAGCACTGCCCTCAGGGTGCTCTCAGTCCGATGGGGAGGGAGACACACGAGGGATGATGGGGACACGTGTGCCTTCAGCCCTCATTGCACCACAGGAATCATTCAACATGCTGCCTCTGTGTGGTGTCACTACTCCGTCCAATTTACAGATGGGGAAACTGAGGTGCAGACATGTTAAGTCATTGTCCAAGGTGGGATCTGAACCCAGGAAGCTCCAAGGTTGGGCTTGTAGCCACCATAACACGGTGTCTCACAGACATGAGCTCCGGAACAGTGGACATCAGGAAGAGGAGTGGGGACTGACTGCCACTTTCAGACACTTGAGCTAGACTTCTAAAGCACCTGAAAAGCTCCCTATTCAACTAGTAGGGCTTGTTTTCCACCCCACGCAGGAAGAGGGCAGGTCATTTCAGGCAGAAGGAACAGGGTGTGAAATAGGTTGTTGGCAGGCGAATGAGGTCTTCAGGAGGTGTGAAAAACCTATCCCTGTGGTGGGTAAAGGAGGGCAAGCAGCAGTGGGGCAAAGAACATAGGGCCCATGGGGATGGAGGGCTGGGAGTGGAGAGGTGCAGTTGCCAAGGTCGCTGCAGGCCAGGTGAAGAAGGCTTGGTGGTGGGCCCCCCCGGAAGTACACCCCGGCCTTGGGGATTTCTGGCTTAGTATCAGATTTAGCTGATATTCCTGGCTCTCTCCAAACAAAGGATTTGGGCTCTCTAGGGAAGTCTGTATCTTTTTTTAAAAATTTCTTTGCTACAGGGCACACATGCTCACCAGAGACAGAAAGAGACAGAGACAGAGAGAGAAAGAAAAAGAAAGCAAGCTGCCAGGTCCAGGACTAGAACCGTAGTTGACCATATGGAAGTCCAGTACCTCAACAGTCACGCCATTTGAAGTCTGTATTTTAATAACATCCTCGAATGTTTTAGGATCAGGCGTGACTAGGGTATCACTGCTTCAGACAAAAATGGGCACAGGCCAGCCAGTGGC